GGATAAATACACTTCAGACGACCCGAGAACAAGTTTTCACAAATTCCTACGAAATGAAAACAAAATAAGATCGTTGTCATTCGGATATCGTAATTGTTAAAGATACGCGATGTATGTGCTAAAATATAATTCCGATCGACAAATTTGTTCTATCTTCAGTCTCTGTGGTTGTTGTGATAATTGTGTGTTAATGGAAGGATTCATGAGCAAACCTCTTAATGACGTCAATCGAAAAAAGGGAAAACTGTGGAACATTTTGGAATTGCATTTGTAATTAACAAAGCTGAAACGGATAATTTCATTGTCTTTGAATTAAGATTGGAAAACACTCAAACACAATGAAATATTCCTCGACTTGTACGCCATTTTTCTTAAAAAAAAGAAAAGACAGAAAACAACTCCGAATACGTTTCCGTACAAAGATGCAGAAGTCGAGATTACGTTATTTTGAATATTTAAAGTCATTACCTTGGACCACACAGCCATCTAAAATGTCGGGAAAGATGACAAGCTATGATAAATGAAAATTTAATTAGCAGGCCTTCTATACAAAAACATGAACAGCACATAGCAAACAAATATACACACCTTTTAGTTATAAAATTACTCAGTCTGTACAAAGATATGATGATAAGCTGTATGTAAATGATACATGTGTTTACTTTGTAAAATCATCTCATGTCGTCTCTTCTGAGTGTAGAGACAAGCAGACATCTCCAGTGTCTGATCAACAGCTTAATATACACAGTGTTAACATTGAAATATGTGCCTTACCCTGCGTTATGCATGTAAAGTTTACAATCATTAGAAACACAACTACAAAGTGCACGTGATTTTAAACCGAGTCAGAATTTTAGATGGAATATTTCCAAAGTCTTATTAAAATGTACATGTTTCTTTGCCGGTAGATTAATCAATGGGGGTCAACAAATATCATAAAAATAAACAAACTTGCCAAATAGTGTACGTGTAGGGCTGCGCGTGAAGGATATACTGGCACGTGTCCCGTATAAAAACGTATCATTACACAGCATACGCCTTGTCGTTAATTGAGGAGCTCTATACTACTGTCGGGCGTTTCAAAATCCAAAGGTATTAAACCTGAAAGCTTAACGACCTATTGTGCTTTACAAACAGTGTACAGAGCTGCATTTCACTAAATTAGCGTGCACGCGCATTAATTATCTAGAACTTCGTATACCTGTACAATTAGTTGCACATGCAACACTGTGGTACGTTTATATCTATCTCTATGGTTTCCTCTGGTTGTCAGTGAGGTATTTCCCACAGTGGAATATAAACATTTACAATGAAGTGTCATCACAATGATAAGATTGCTTACCACCATAAAGAGTTGTTCCCCTTTGCTAAGTATCTGTACCGATTCCTTCGCTAGAACTTCCTACTAAACAGTACTATTCATTAGGGTCGCAGATCCCAATTTGAACCAAACGACAATAGCTTATGATCATAGACCACATCATCATTGTTCTATTTTGATGATTAAGTATTTAAAATCACCATCATGATGATGATATATTATAGAGAAGTAATCGATGCGTTGGAAATCGTTAATTTTCAAGGTGAGTCAAGGTGAATCATTTTAATTCAGTATCGTGTCGGCTGGGCTTCCAGTCGAATGACAAATAATTTCGTTAAAAGCACCGCACGCATTATTGTAAAAGAGATTTTTTTTGAAGATTACAAATTTGATTTTATGCTTCATCAAAAGACCTCAAAATTCCAAATACATCATATAACGGTACCGGTTACAATTGGGTTTCATGGAGATGTATGTATACTCCCTCGTGATAGCCCGCTGTATGTAAACTATGTTATATCATACAAGTTTGACTTTCACTGCTGACTATTGGGCAAGAGGGACCACTATCTCTCCTATCCTACATGTTGTTTTGACCATTTCTGGATCTCTGGTAAATGTATTGTCAGAGTAATGGTACCAGCTGAAGTTCCGCGGCGCTGTATGTGTAGGTCATGACATTTCAGCGAAATCTATCTGTGGATACTGATTTCATGCGACCTTACAGCACGGATACAAACAAACTAAGTATTAAACAAATACCTAATGCTACACTTTTTATCTCGACATTACTTGAATAATTACAGACAGATAACCTGGGCCGCCATGGATCAGCTACTACAAGGAGACATCACATCAAAAAACAACCCTGAATGTCGCTCGTACGCCACCAACTACTGCAATCAAACTCCGACTTAGACAGACGTAGCTGTTCACGGGCCGACTAACTCTAAAAAAATAACGCTCGAAATAGGCGAAGACATTCGTAAAGACAATGTTTAACAAGTTCTTCCATGCTTTACTTATGGTATACAATAAACCTGGTAGATAGTTGTGACACAATTTTGCAAAAAAAAAAAAAAAAAAAAATCTCACAATATTTAGCTGTAGTAATCTTGGTCTCCGCTTCCTGCACGGGAAGGTAAAGACTAAGAAACTGGTGAAAGGTCTATATATACCGCCATCTCTACCTTGCGATCAAGGCAGACATTTCCGATGGGATTGTGGGATCGACTCCGTATCTCTTTATCAGACTGTACGGTTGGTAAAGATATAGACGATTGATTTCCGTGTTACTGTTTATCACCGTCTGAGAAAGTGGTGTCCTGAACAATCACCTAATGACAGATGTGAGCGAACGATTTAATCTTCATATCAAACCACAGAAATAACTGTTGAAGACACGATTTCCTCCATAGTGAATTTAAACAGTCATAACTCATATGTATTAGAAATTAGGTCAAAACAAAGATATTGTTGACATGTTCATGCAAAATAAAGTGTTCCAGAGAGCAAAAGAAAAATGTATTCTATGACTTTCAGATGATCTTAACATTTTACCAATGTGCGTTCTTGTGCATTTTAGGGCATGGAAGTGTAGTTCTGTGTTCGTTAGCCGTTACAACTTTATTGAAGTGTTAATTACGACCGTACATGATTAACAAAGAGGAATACTCGAAATTCCATGTAACGGAATTTAGGCTATCTCTTAAACAACCATCAACATTGTTAAATAACGGTCCCTATCAACCAATATCTGGTATCATACAAAAATCTCCATTTTAATTAAGAATCAAATGTCCCTTTGTGGTATAAACATCATTGCTAGGTAGTCGTTACATCGGGAAGAGCAACACAGCACTACAATCAGTGTAGACTAGTAATTGGCTTGTCTGCTTTCCCCAAACACTCCCAACATCTTAGTCCCAACGCTTGCAAGCACCTGCGCCAGGTGATTAACTTAGCTACTTGTTGACACCAATTAAGGCTGTATGTAATGTAATTAGTAGTCTATCTTATCCCCGTCAGATCGCCGTCGGAGGCCGGGAGGGGTTGCGGGTTCGGGACCCTGTCGTGAACAGCCATGCTGAGCAAATCCAATGTCAGAAACAATAATCAAATGTTAATCCACAAGGGAACAAACTCTGGTCCACACACCGCCAGCTAGGGGCGGTCTTCTGATGTTTACAATCTAAAAAAAATCTTATCAATATCAAACGAATATTTATAAACAAATGATGACAAGTAGCGCATGTTTCGAAGAAGATGGTGACGAACGGCGGACGACAACGGACATGATCAGATAACCTACTTCAAGCAGCTTCCCTATCCCCTCCCGATCTGGCGACCGGAAGGGGCGGTTGTAATATGATCTCCCTCGTTCTTGGTCCGTCCGGTCTCCACTTCTACTCAGCATTTCCCCATTTGTTTTCTCAAGCTTGCTTAGGATGTCTTTTTGATGGTTTTATATAATTTGGTTATTTAGAGATCACAGGTCAAGGTCACTGTCAGTATACATTGTGAATAGAAACGATATCTAGTTTTGTTGTGCCGATTCCCCTCACACTTCATTCATTGCTTATTTCCAGACAGCAATGCTCGTTTGGCATAGCTTATTTCCAGACAGCAAATGCTCGTTTGGCATAGCTTATTTCCAGACAGCAAATGCTCGTTTGGCATAGCTTATTTCCAGACAGTAAATGCTCGTTTGGCATAGCTTATTTCCAGGCAGTAAATGCTCGTTTTGCATTGCTTATTTCCAGATAGTAAATGCTCGTTTGGCATTGCTTATTTCCAGACAGTAAATGCTCGTTTGGCATAGCTTATTTCCAGACAGTAAATGCTCGTTTGGCATTGCTTATTTCCAGACAGTAAATGCTCGTTTGGCATTGCTTATTTCCAGACAGTAAATGCTCGTTTGGCATAGCTTATTTCCAGACAGTAAATGCTCGTTTTGCATTGCTTTTTCAGGACTGGGTCGCAAGGTCATTGCTAGTGTAGCACCATGCAAGAAAATGTTGGACTAGTTTTACATGGACAACCTGTCATTGTTCCTTGAATAAAGTGTTTACCTGGGTTTGCTTTTGTGTACGGTCAGAATCGCTTGCTACAAATAGAAAATCGGTTTCTGCACAATACTTCAGGTCTGTTTGACCACTCAAATGCCACCAAGTTCTTCCTTGAAGAAATTGCTCTCTTGTGATTGCAGGACTGAATTTTGTTATTCACCACCTTTTAAATATATTTCTTTTATTACATATAGCACAAACTACTGTGTAACATACTTTACTTTATCAAAGGATGAGGTAATAATACATTTATTTTCTAGATATAAACTTAGAGATGTCATAAAGCACCTCATTAAATCAATAAAAGATACCTGTACTACAGTGGTCACTGCCATTAATTACATATTCATACTTCACGGTTAAAATTGCTAGCTATTTTTTCCCATGGAGAAAAATTGCTATTTAAAAAAAATACTAACAAGAGTTCCCATAATGATCTTGGCACTCACCACCCTCTGATCTTTCATTATTCTTAAAAAAGTCCAATTTGATGAACTTTACTAAAATTTCTTAAATCAAGAAGAATTTAAAATGTGTAAACTTATGTCTTATATTGGAGCATTTTTGTAAGAATGCATAATTCATGTACAAATAAAACAAAGACATTATTATATTAGGTCAGTGAATATTTATTATTTTCATTATACAAATGATATGCAAATTAAGTCTAACTGAAAGAAAGTATAGTAAAACTGGCTAAAATTTAAATATATGTGACATACAGGGATATCTCCCTGCTGACCCCCAAGTCATCAGACCAGCCAGAAACTGAAATCCAAATTCTTGACTCTGGTGTATTTTTTTATTTTTGTTTTATTGCAAACTAAAATTAAACTTTAACACATACAAAGATTTTGACATCTGAAAAGAGTTTCAGATATGTCATAAATACTTTGTCTAATTACCTAGAGAAAGATAATGTTAATATGTTGGCATGGTTTAGAATGACCTTGTAATGCTCAAGGTTACAGACTCTACAAGTCATCACAAAATTGATCTTATATTGATGCCTTTACAAGGGTAGATACAAATTTCCTCAAATGCAGTCTATAGAAAGAGGCATTCAACATTTTTCAAATATCGATGTATTTCAGATATATACTATATCTGTGATACCTTAATGAAAGAGAAATATATTATTCAAATGAAGACAAAAATCTGTTATTCAAATGTCTTCTTTTTGCATTTACATATACAGTCACTGACATGGGAAACACATTTGTAACATTGCACCAGCTACACCGCAACCACAGAATCGTGACAGAATAATTGTTTTTTTTTTTTGTTTTTTTAATTTCTGTCTGAAGAGTATTAACATTACAAGTGCATGTCTAAAAATTAGGTGACAGCCTAGTAATTGTGGTGGAATGCCCCTGCAATTGTTAGTGATGATGGGTGGGGAGGATGGGGAGGCAGAAAAACATTGGGGCACCAGATGCCACAAGACTGTTGGTGGGCTCAAGTTATCCACTGGAACATCAGGGGCAGACATAGCCATCTCACATGGCACATCGTGTCAACAACTTACATAATGGCTGCCTAAATGTCCTACAAAATTGGGCAATGCTTGGTATGTGGTAGAGAAAACAAACAAACGACCTGGTAGAATTGGTGTTATCTTAAATACACAGTAAAAATATTGGTCACACACAAAACAGACAGCAACGCAACTTCTCACAACAATATGTCCCTTGTGACAATGTACTGTTTTAAGTCGCTATTTAAAAGGGTATTTACAAAGTAACGGTAAGAAAAACCAAACTGAAAATTCATAACTGCCATAGATTTTTTCTATGGAGGATGATGCTTAACAAGAAAAACCATGGAAAGTCTCCATCCTGGCTGTGCCTCTTTCATCCACATGATTAGAATGTTTGTTTTCCTGAATAAATATCTGATTTAATGTCATTCCCACGTGTAGCTGTTCATTGTTAACATCACATGTCAGTCCCTAGTCAGTCATCAGCACACGATAACCGTGCAGTTGGTGGCTGCAGTAGATATGGTATATATGATTGTTATGGTGGTTAGATATCCTTGTGGATGTGCTGCTGTAGATAGAATAGACTTTTACTTCTTACCAGGGTCTTCTTTAAGTGTGACAGTGCGGTTAAACACAATCTGAAAAGATAAAATCAAGGAGAAAATTAAAGCACATTTTGTATCCTAACATAAGATAAAGTTTTGTTATTTTACTCACAAAATTATCAACTCCAATCAAATATAATTCAGCCAAAAAATAGCCCACTTCTAATCCTGTCCTATTACATACAAAATATTTAGGTATAACCTGTATTCTCCACTATACATGTAGCATTTACACATGTATCTGGACTCATCTACAAATGTGACAACTAAGTTATCTCCCCTTTATTGAGCTTGACTGTGGTGACCTGAGATCCAGATTTGAGATCACTTCTGATACTTATGCTCAGGAATGAGGACACACAATATACGCTCTAATGACCAAATGATCTGTGCAGAAAGAAGCAAACTTGTGCAAAAATTAATTAAGTAAGTGCAGTGTCTCCAACCTCTTGTTGTCTAATATCAGGTCATAGCCCTTTGAGAGCAGGGATGAAGAATTATCAAAGAAAAAAATTCTTATAATGAATTCTAGTTCAGATGATGTTCATTTAAATTGTTTTAGATCCCAAATTTCATTTTGAAAATTTCAAATACTGATTAAAGTAAGACAAGTAAGAGGTGATTATCACAGCTTCACAGTTTAATTAAACGGTATGGCCAATATCAAGTTGGCTTTAACAAATCAGGCAAGTTGGTGACAATGTTCTTGAGACATAAGCACCTGTTCTGAGCAAAATGACTACTGGGGTCACAAGCACCTGTTCTAAACAACATTACCAATGGGAACACAAAAACTTGTTCTGAGCAAAATGACCAGTAGGTACACAAACAATTGTAACCTTTGGGAACACATGTCACCGGTTCTCCTGTCTATAGTAGCCTGTCAACCTTGAAAACAATTAAACACATTTAACTTGAGCACAACCAGTGCATTCCTGATATGGTAATCAGCGAACAACAGCAAAAAATCCAGTTTCATTAATCAGAGCTCGGAAAACAATTGTGTTGTCAACCTTTGTATTGAATTAAAACTGACTGGTTAGCTAGTTCACTTAGGCTAAATTTTGGAAACAAATTCTCCAAACTCTCCTTGTAAAATGACATACAATCACTGTGGTAAACACTATGGCATATCTCTATTGCATGTAATATCTTTACTTTGTAATGTGACTCTAGGGACCTCTCTGATAGGTCTATATAATAAGTAAAGACATCAAAACTGAAAGTGAAGTACTATCTTATAAGCATACTACAAATGATACAAGTCATTTAAGAATTCACTTTTAATATTTGTCTACATCATATTGCAGTGGTGAAAAACAGGTATTTGTGAAACAATCAAGAACCTGCCTAATACATGTGACAAATAATGATATATAATTCATATTATACTGACAGGTTTAATGTATATTTATATACAACTATTTTCAAAAGACAAATTTCTTTTTCTTTCAAAAAGTAATTCTAAAGCTATCTGTACCTCCCTTGAAAAATGTATTTAAACAACTGGTATTTCACATATTTTGAAATTTTTTTTCAATAATAAATTTAGCTAATTGAATATACACCATCGCACCAAAAAGATTGTATAAGTCTGAAGATCTTTTTTTATTTTTGTTATGGGACATCTGTAAAATCATTTATCAGCAGCAAGTCTGTATAACATTAATAAATAAAACATAAAAAAAGAAACATCAATAAAAAAACACTGAAATAGAGGACAACGGGTTGATATGTAGGAAAAACAGTAAACTGCCAAACTATCAATGGAAGTTATGACAAACTGTTGCGCTGGTCCTTATGTCATGAGTGATGGTGTGGGGCATTGAGAGACCAGTGCCTGCCAAAGAAATGAAGTCAGTGGTAGACAGATCAGCCAAACTGGAGAGCATGTCATCAAATTCAATACTGGCATTCATGATGTTGATCAAATGTAAAGTAATACTGGTAAACTCAAGTTAAAGAGCCCAACTCGGTATTTATGTAATACACAGGTGTAAATGTCAGAGCTGGTTTCACTTCGCTGATAGAGGTTGGAGAGAAATTCTGACATTCATGACCGAAGTGGACAATACTTGGATCTTGTGCTTTAGGTAATCAACATTAAATCCACAAGAATTAGAATTGGAAAGTGACAGTCACAACCTGGCAAGCCAACTTTACTATTAGTCTGACCTTGAAATTTTTCAGTTGACAGTAAATGTCAGTTGTGTTAGAAAAATTGCTTCTATTCTGTTTTAACAACGTAGAAGGGACATCAGCTGCCTTGCAACAAGAAATGGTGTTGCCTTGACGACCATCAGGACATGCTGTTTTAAAATTGTGGGCTTCTAAGAAGAATCATTCTTTGAAACAAAACTCAATTTAATTTGATCTGAAAGAAAATACACACACTGGTATGAATTTGATAAAAACAAAATGAACAGAGCTTTACATAGATATACCCCACACCCCAATCTTGTACACAAGATTAACGTAGATATACCCCACACCCCAATCTTGTACACAAACTTTACGTTGAAATACCCCAAACCCCAATCTTTTACACAAGATTAACGTAGAAATACCCCACACCCCAATCTTGTACACAAGATTAACGTAGATATACCCCACACCCCAATCTTGTACACAAGATTAACGTAGATATACCCCACACCCCAATCTTGTACACAAGATTAACGTAGATATACCCCACACCCCAATCTTGTACACAAGATTAACGTAGATATACCCCACACCCCAATCTTGTACACAAGATTAACATAGAAATACCCCACACCCCAATCTTGTACACAAGATTAACATAGAAATACCCCAAACCCCAATCTTGTACACAAGATTAACGTAGATATACCCCACACCCCAATCTTGTACACAAGATTCATGTAGATATACCCCACACCCCAATCTTGTACACAAGATTCATGTAGATATACCCCACACCCCAATCTTGTACACAAGATTCATGTAGATATACCCCAAACCCCAATCTTGTACACAAGATTCATGTAGATATACCCCACACCCCAATCTTGTACACAAGATTAACATAGAAATACCCCACATCCCAATCTTGTACACAAACTTTACGTTGAAATACCCCAAACCCCAATCTTGTACACAAGATTTTGATTTTAAAAGTGAACATAGCTGCTCATTAACCACTAAACTTGACCAATGACCATCAAAACCTAATCAGGTATTGATCTTGGTACAGTGTATTGTGATGTTATGGTGTGAATCAGAACTATATCGTTAAGGAGTTCAAGATATCTTATATTCAAGCTGTTTATTTTCAAAGTGGTTTATGGTGGCCTTTGACCTTAACCACTAAAATCTACTCAGGTGCTGACCAAGGTGTTATGATGATGTGGTGTGAATATGGTATGAATGTGGTAAGAATATGAACCAAGTCTGTTCTGGGGCTCATGAGATATCACGTATACAAGTTTCTCACACACACTAACCCACACATTAACGTACAGACACACAAAGTACTTTTTATAGGTATAACAAGGCCATATGTACAATACATTACAGAAAATGTCCTAGAGAAATCAGAATAATATAATTTACCGGCAATGCATTGAGATTGATGACTGTACAATGAACATATGGAGAACTAACAAGATCCACAAACTATAATGATGTGTTGCACAACACACATCATGGCAGCGATGAATTTCAATAATGTATATAGCAAGGATTTCAACTCTACAGAACGACAGTGCCAAAGACTTGTTAAATACTTACTGGAGGAATGACTGTGACATTTCTTAGTGTTTTCTGCATTTAGATTACATGCAGCCACCCTGGTTCTACTGTTGCTATAGAGGGCGCCACACTATCGCGATACGGTACTAAGATAAATGGTCATGTTGATAAAAGAAATATGGCAAATGTCATTTTCAATCGTCTTATATAACTTATAAATATTAAAGGAATCAATTAAAAAAGAGCTCTGTCTTCACTTGCTGCAGTCATGCTGGTATCTTTTTTTTTATTCAGAAGATAAAAACAAAAATCTTCCAACATTTTGGTATAAGAATTATATAAGACATTACTTTATGTGTGAAAAACCTGTAAATTTATTTTAAAGATCAATATCTATCCTAGTCTGATTTATAAATTGTCTGGCAGCGACAAGGAAAAAAAACACACAAAAATTGTTTGATTCAGTATCATTATAAGTGAGAGAGTCTGCAATCAGATAGATAATCGTAATATGTAGGAGTGGTCTGTCTGTAATGGTGATCCATTTGACGGACAAGCATGAAACTCAATATGGTTTATGATTAATCCTTTGTACAATGTAAAACACACAGATGTATGATAGACATTAACTTACTCTCTATAGGTATATGCTGAAATTCTTTCACCGTCTTATCACAGATATCCCTTCATTAATTCATTTCAGATATCCCTCCATCTCATCATCAATATCCCTCTGTTTATTGAGTACAGATATCAATCTCATTACAGACATCCCTCCATCAACTTAACAGACATCCCTCCATCAACTTAACAGACATCCCTCCATCAAATTAACAGACATCCCTCCATCAAATTAACAGACATCCCTCCATCAACTTAACAGACATCCCTCCATCATCTTAACAGACATCCCTCCATCAACTTAACAGACATCCCTCCATCATCCCTCCATCAAATTAACAGACATCACTCCATCATCCCTCTATCAACTTAACAGACATCCCTCCATCAACTTAACAGACATCCCTCCATCAACTTAACAGACATCCCTCCATCAACTTAACAGACATCCCTCCATCAACTTAACAGACATCCCTCCATCAACTTAACAGATATCCCTCCATCAACTTAACAGACATCACTCCATCAACTTAACAGACATCCCTCCATCAACTTAACAGACATCCCTCCATCAACTTAACAGACATCCCTCCATCAACTTAACAGACATCCCTCCATCAACTTAACAAACATCACTCCATCAACTTAACAGACATCCCTCCATCAACTTAACAGACATCACTCCATAAAATTAACAG